AGACATTAGGCACAAATCATCATCGGTGGCGAAACCCAAATCTTCTAGGGTCTTTGCATCGGTCAAACTACGTCCACCCATCTTCTCACAGCTCCTCATAATTATCTGTTGTATGATTCAGTCCAGTCCAGTCCAGTGCAGTCCAGTTGACCACAATCAGGAAGATCATGTGTGATGATAGTAGGTGGCAACCTTGTCTTGCTCCTCTCCTCACTTCACTTCAAATGCACCACTGAGCTTTCCATTGTGAATCACTTTGCATGTAGCCTCATCATACAGCATATAGGTGTTGTCAGGTGAGGTTGATGAGTGTTTGTGGCACTGAAAGCGTAGTGTTGAGAATCTGCCTGTCAACTTACTTCTTGTTTGACTCTGTTGAAGGCTTTTTTAATGTGGATGAATTTGAGGTGGAGTTTATTTTACTGTCATTCTGTGCTCTGCTCTATGATGATACGTAGGGAAGCGTTGTGTTGCAATTTGATCCACACACGATTTGTTCCTCCTGAATCCAGCTAGTCAGTCAGCCTGTTTCGGTATTAATCCAGTTTAATCCAGAGAATTTTTTGGTCTCTCCAGGATGATGAGGCCTTACATTTTGCTTGCAGTGGACAGAGAAGGAGTATGTGTCCACGCTAGTTCTCGCAAAGCCTTTGGTTGCCCTTCTTTGGGAGTTTGACAAGGTAGCTGCTCCTCCAATCGACAGGTACCTTCCCTTCTTGAGCGGGTGCTTCTTTCCCTTCACTTTTACTAGCCGGATAACAAACCGTCATAGTTCTTTTTGTTCTTATCCTTTAATCCTTTTAGTTTAAGGTGGACACCCAAAAAGTGCACAGAAATCCAAGGTATTCCAGATCCGCATGCAGTAATTCAATTCTTTTGCAGTAAACTCTATGCAGTCAAGGATAAATTTCTTCCTGAAAAGTTCACTAACCATTTTTGTTTTGGTTCTTTCTGGTTTGACTTGAAGAGTTTGAGTTGTTTGTTTCTTAGTTTCCCTATTCTTTTTTCTCCTATGGTCTTCATTGTTATCTTTGGACAGTCATCAGTTATCTCATCATCTCCTTTCCTAGGATTGAATAGTGATTATCCGATTATACTTCTTGAAATTGATTTAAGCATAGGATTTCACGAACAGTACCATCATCCTTCCATTTCATTTAGAAATCTTCCGTTCAGTAGGATAGCTCATGGGTGTTTCATATTTAACCCTTGGTGGTAAGTTAGGCCTTCGTAAACATGTAAGTGGAAGAGTTGTTCCCGCCTGCAACGTTCTCCCATTTGTTAGCAAGTATCTTATGTGATAGAGAACCTCGCCTGGTTAACTAGTTTACTAGTCACTAGCCGGTCCTAAGCCAGGGTAAAGAGGGAACGTTGGGCATAGGGCTAGCAACCCTACCCCGTAAAACAAATCTAACCGCTAAAGAAACTTCAAAGCACAAACAAAATATAAAAAATGAAAACAAACTTATTCCCCACTGGAATCGGAGAGGCGAAATGACGCCAGTTGGTGAAAGCCTGCCTTCGGGAAGCCAATTGGCCGATGTGTCTTCTCTCCCTCGATGAAAGCGAAAGTAAACGTGGGGACATGGAATGTCCGCACCATGTTTGAACCCAGTAAGGCAGCCCAGATTGCAAAGGAGATGAGAAGGTATCACATTGAAGTGCTTGGGATTTGCGAAAGCAGATGACATGGGAGTGGACTCTCCAAACTGTCAACTGGAGAATCAATAATCTACTCCGGTCACCCAGACGCCAAACACGAGCACACTGAGGGAGTGGCTATCATGATGTCCTCAAGAGCATCGAAGGCTCTCATGCAGTGGGAACCAATCTCCTCCAGGATCATGACAGCAAGATTCAACTCAAAAGGAAGAAAGGTCACAATCATACAATGTTATGCACCTACAAATAATGCAGAGCAAGAGAAGAAGGAGGAATTCTACAGACAACTTCAATCAACACTAGACAACACGTCAGTTGGCGATATCAAAATTCTGATGGGCGACATGAATGCCAAACTGGGAGGGGACAACACGGGAAGAGAACTAACCATGGGTCGAGAGGCGCTAGGTGAAATGAATGAGAATGGAGAATTGTTTGCAGAATTCTGCGCATTCAACGATTTGGTGATTGGAGGCAGTGTGTTCAGGCACAAGGATATCCACAAAGCGACATGGATTTCACCATATGGACACACTAAAAATCAAATCGACTTTATCTCAATCTCAAGAAAATGGAGACGCAGTCTACTTGACACAAGGTCAAGAAGAGGAGCAGATGTAGGTTCACACCACTCACTGCCTAGTGCAAGGAACCTTCCAAATCAAGTTAAAAGCCTTCAAGGAAGCTGGTGACAGACCTCAGTTCAAGTACAACACTCGGAAACTGAAGGATGAAACTACAAAGGAGATCTTCAAGACAGCCATCAAGACAGAATGGGAGACATCGAGCAACATCCCTGAAGAAACCTGTGTGGAAGAACACTGGAAGTCTTTGAAAGCTATGTGGAAAGAAACCTGCACAACAGTATTAGGAAGGAAGAAGGTGGAAGACAAGGAATGGATCTCGACGGATACCTGGAAGCTGATAGAGCAGGAGAGGAGGATGGTGAAGCAGAAGATAAACCAGTGCGGTGCAAGGATGCTCAACGACAAGAGGAACTGAGTACAATGTATAAAGCACTGGACAAAGAAGTGAAGAAGAGTGCACGGAAAGACAAAAGACACTTCTACGAAACACTGGTAAGTGAAGCAGAACAGGCTGCAGGTAAGAGAGACAGAGACCTGACGACATTGTATCAAATAACCAGGTTACTATCTGGGAAGAGACCAACATAGATGAAACCAATAAAAGACGAAGAAGGAAATTTAATTACAAAAGAAGAGAAACAGAGGAAACGATGGGCCGACCACTTCAAAAAGCTCTTGAATCGACACCACCACCACCTGCACTTCGTCCAGAAATACCACCTACAGCCACAGAACTACAAGTGAACACAAATCCTCCAACAAAAATGGAAGTCCTGAACGCCATAAAGCTACTGAAATGTGGGAAAGCAGCAGGTCCAGATGGGATCCCTCCAGAAGTACTGAGAACAGATGCAGAGACAACAGCGGACATGCTCACACCACTATTGCAGAAGATGTGGAAGGAAGAGAAGGTACCTGACGATTGGAAGAAGGGTTACCTTGTCAAACTGCCGAAGAAGCGAGACCTCAGTGCTTGCAAGAACTGGCGCGGAATCACTCTCCTGTCCACACCAAGTAAAATATTAAGCCGCATCATCCTGGAGAGGCTTAAGGATGCACTGGATTCAAAACTGCGACCGGAACAGGCAGGCAGGCTTCAGGAAGTACAAATCATGTGCAGACCAAATTGCAACGCTTCGCATCATCATAGAACAGAGCATAGAATGGCAATCAGCTCTCTACCTCAACTTCATCGACTTTGAGAAAGCCTTTGACAGCGTCGACAGAGAAGTAATTTGGAAACTGCTTCAATACTACGGAGTACCGCAAACCTTTATCAGCCTCATTCAACAACTGTATGAAGATGCCACATGCCAAGTAATCCACAATGGGAAGTTCAGTGATGCTTTCGAAGTGAAGACAGGAGTGAAACAAGGTTGCCTACCATCCCCCATGATATTCCTGATTGTGGTGGACTGGATCATGCAGCAAACAGTGGGGAGCGAGAAGAGGGGGATACAGTGGCTGGACTGCAGAAGAGAACCTAGGAGACTTGGATTTCGCCGATGACTTATGCCTAATGTCACACAAACTTGAAGATCTGCAGGCAAAAACTAACAAGTTGATGGAAGAGGCAGCGAAGACGAGACTTCAGGTGAATATAAAGAAGACGGAGGTGATGAAGATACCGCACCACCACCATCAACAGCAACAACAAACTCGAATCACCGTCAACGGGAGAAACTTGAAGGAAGTAACCTCCTTCACTTATCTAGGAAGCACTGTTTCAACTACAGGCGGGACGGACGAGGACGTCAATGTCAGAATCGGAAAAGCAAGACAAGCCTTCATTAGCCTGAAACCAGTGTGGAGATCTTCTGCACTCAGCATGCGGAACAAGATACGGATTTTCAACACCAACGTGAAGTCATTGCTTCTGTATGGCTCAGAGACTTGGCGCGTCACGAAAGGCATTTCCAATAAACTATAGACATTCATCAACAACTGCTTACGCTCGCTGCTGAAGATCAGATGGCCAGAAAGAATAAGCAACAAGGAACTCTGGGAACGAACCAACCAAGAACCTATCACGCAACAAATATGCAGGAAGAAGTGGAGATGGATTGGCCATGCACTGAGAAGGCCGACTGAGGACATCACGCGTCAGACCAGTTGCTCGAGTGGAACCCCGATGGGAAGCGACGAGTTGGACGTCCGAGGTGAGGGTGACATAGAGGAGGTCGTGCGAGGAGGAAATGAGAGGTTGTGGGCTGTCGTGGGACCAGGTTCAAAAGATCTCAGAGAAGAGAGGTCACTGGAGGCGTGCTCCTGAAGCCCTATGTTCCACTAGGAACCCAAGGGACTAATAATAATAATAATAATAATAATAATTATGTGACAGAGAGTCCCTGAGTTCCACTGCTCCACTAAAATGTTTATGGACCAGGTTTTATGGTCGCATTTATTTTAAAACACTAAGAAAGTACTTCACTAATCAGGTCTTTATACATTATTATCAGTCTGGTCTTTATTTGTCTAGCACGCTATTCACCAGTATAAAATTTAAAAAATCATTTTGACTACTTAGTAATAAATTCAGCAGTTTGCGTTAATACATCCAAATATTTTTGGCGGTATGCGTTTGCCTAAATGGGACTTGGCTCTCGCTTTCCCGATTAGTAGCATTTATAGCCACAGATACTGGGATACATTTTTGTCAGTTTGGTTGGGAAGAACAACTTTTTTGTTGGTCTTCGGAACTATGCGTTTGATTAAATTAAATATTGACCAGTCTATAAAATATTAAATCACCTGTTAGATGCCCATATTGGTCAGACAGTTTATTCATCCCGTTTTGTGAATTTATTCTTGAGATTGTTGTGCACTCCACTAAATCACCGTTTACACTGTGATTATCCATTTTGAAGGTTGTTGGTCCCATTAAACCTGTTAATTCTGGTAAATTAATATTTGTAGTTGATAGAATATGTGGATCTGAATTTGATGATGAAGAATCCACGTGATTTGCTGCAGTAAACAAATTAGATAAAGAGGATGCCAAAATTTTAGTCATAACAAATGACTGTTTATTTGTTACTAGACTACCATGTAAAGAACATTGAATTGTCTGACCATCCATAATATAAGTATCACCACATTTAAGTAATCGTCCACAACTGTAACATGTGAAACATGATTCATGATATAAAGTATCCGAATCCACTTGAAAAATTAGATCATTCCTATGCAATTTTTCACCACATCGAAAGCATGAAGACAGTCTGAAATCGAAGAAGACATAGGTATGGTTTAGGTCTTCTGTTCAGATGATTAAAACTAGTTTGTAAAGTACTTAATTCATAAAAAAGAAAAAGTAAACTCACCTGAATAATTCATTTCAATCTTGTTTACTAAAATGTGTTCGGCATATTATTTATGACCAGTAACGTCAGTAGATACAAATATTTCTCTATGTACAAAAGTAAAAGGAGTACACACAGCGGCGATAAATATTATATGTGAAATATTTCCCTAATTTCGAAGATCTACAGGCAAAAACCAACAAGTTGACAGAAGAGGCAGGACAACAAAGACGGGATTTCAAGTAAACGTACAGAAGACAGAGGTGATGAAGATACTCAACCAACACCACCACCAACAACAACAAACACCAATCACTACCAACTGGAGAAACTTAAAGGAAGTACGCTCTGTCACCCACCACATACGCAGCACTGATTCAAATACAGGCGGCAAACATGAACACGTCAAAATCAGCCAACATCGGAAAGACTGAAAGACAGACCTCCCTTCATTAACCACAATTTCAGTGTGGAGATCTGCTCCACTGCACTCCACTCAACTCTACTCCACTCACAATAAAGCCTCAACAACATCCGCATTTTCAACACAAATCTAGTCAACCAAGTCAGTGATTCCATGTGATGCTTGACAGACTTGACGTGTTACCAAAGACATTTCAAACAAACTACAAATATTCATCAACCAGCACCGTCTACGCTCACTCATTACTCACTCTGAAGATCAGATGGCCAGAACACTTAGAATAAGCAACAAGGAACTGTGGCTGGCTAGCTGGCTGGCTGTCAACGAATCAACAATGCAAGAACCTGTCACACAACAGATATTTGTGGAAGAGAGTGTAGATGGATTGAATTGTGCATACACTGAGAATACCAACTGGTGACGTGACATGACATGACGTGCCAGACCAGACCAGGCCAGTTGAGGTTGTCGAGTGGAATACAGATGTGAAATGACGAGTTTGTAGTTCGAGGTGAGTGTGACATGGAGGAGATGGAGTGAGGAAGAAATGAGAGGTGGTGGGGAGTTGTGGAGCGAGGTTTGAAATATTGTAGAGAAGAGAGTGTAATGTGGGCGTGGTAGTGAATCCCTATGTTTGACTAGGAACCCAAGTGACAAATTATCATTATTATTATTATTATTATACTTATAATAATGATAATAGTAATAATTTTCCATACTAACTGGGGTATAGTACAAATAAAAATTCGAATGTTATTAAGAAAGATAATGGATTATTGTTTACAACTTTAAATATCATGTGACTGGGAAACGTTTTGTCATAATTCATTTCACAGCCGTTTACTACAAATAAAGGTAATTTCATTCATAAAATAGTACATATTTAATTCTATATTATCAGGTTGTTTTAACCCTGAAAGTTTATCACAGTTGACTTACCTTCCCCAGTGGTCTGTCAGTTAATATTCTGTTGATAGGTCTTTTTGAAATCATTTTCGTTTAATAGATTGGTATTGCCGAAAAATATAAATCTACGGGATGAGGAGACTCGAACCAGTGACTTTTGGATCGTTGTTTCAACACTCTGTCACCTAAGCTATATGGTATAGGTGGTAACCATGTCTTGAGTTGCCTTTAATTATCTACAGTGCGAAACTATCTTTCAATGCAAGAAAAGTGAATATCCGACCAACTAATAAAATGTCACTCTGATCACCTGGATAGAGGTCATTTGTTTAAATACTACTTCAATCTAGGTTTCTATTTCCTCTCTAATCAGCAACATTAAATTTTCTGCCACGTGGATATACCCTCGATTCATTTCACCTTTAGAAGAGAAGTCAATGTCTTGTATGATATCATTTCTCTGAATAATTGGTGCGACAAAATGACAACAAAGCGTGATCACATTTAAGCATAGTACAAAAGGCTGATTGAATTTGGCTAAGAGGCTTATACGCAACAACACCCTCTTGAATGTAATTAGTGAGTTATTTCTAATTAAATAGAACGGTTGGATGTTCAAATTATTTACAAAAGAAATAAAATTTATTATCTAATGAAAATATCAAAACAGTTAACTTATAACACATGAAATCTATGACATTCTTAAAACAATTATGTTACTTTGTTTGATTATGACTACCAGGGAAATGCAAGATGCACGTTTCGTCCCATCCAGGACTCCTCAGCTGGACGTACCTACATCCCAATGCATATGAAGTGTTGTTCCCACTGAGATTGAAACTTCATACCTATCACTTTGAACTCTAAGACTCTATCCACTAGGCCATAAGTGAATTATCATAACTAATATTCGGGCTATACCGAAGTATCCACGTAGGAGCCCACATGCATTAGAGGTTGAACAATTCAATCCAGTAAAACAATGGAGAGTTACAAGCATATCAATAAATAGTACAAGAGGTGGTTGTCGTACCTCAGTGGTATAATACGTACAAGGTTTAGGTCTCCTTGGGAACAACATCACTCCACACTGGGGTCCAGGTACATTCAGGACGGAACGGGCATCTCGGATTCCTGTGCTAGTCTCAACCAAGTAAAATACTATGATAAATGTTCAGGCAATATCCAAGCATCCGCATAAAAGCCCATATGCCAATGGAGGCCAAACAATTCTATCCAGTATAACAACGTAAGATTACAAGTATATCAAGAAATAGTTATGTTACTGTTGTATTTCACTGAGAAAGTTTCTTTCTGCGCTAATTTAATTGTTCAAATGTGTATTACTACATTATCTTCTAAATATCTATATTGAAAATTGAATACTGATGATTTATATGATACATTACAGTTTGCAAAAGATGAATTCATTATCTATCTTATCGACATTAACTTATAATACCAAAGTATAGTTTAACTACTAATAAGTAGTATGTGAACACAAAGTTGCATTCCATATGGATGATAATTTTAGACATTATTAAATAAGAAAACAATTTTAATTAACTTGACCTAATATGTTTAGTATGAATTAGCAAAAAAAAAAAGAAAACATTATGAATATGTCTGATAACCTAAAGAAACTATTTGTACTGATTAGTTCCTTTGATAGATTCAGAATTTGTTTGCAATGTAATATCAATTGAATAATCATAGAAAAAGATAAGAAATATTGAATATTTATCTTTCTTACTATTATGTTTAACAGAATTAAAGAGATTTTATTGAGAATTTTGTTGTATTAAAGAGGTCAAATAAAGAGAAGGATAATAATGGAGATGCTATCTGAAAGATGAAGGAAATAAACGCTACAATTCAGTATTATAGTTTTAATCACCGATTCGATGACACTATGAATTTTGAAATATAAGAACAGTATAGGAGTAGAAATAAACCTGTGAATCTGTGGCTTATTCATATGGGAAAATGACTTTAGACCAATGGATCATAGGTTCAAATACTGTTCCTTCTAATGAGGTTTAGGCAGCTAGATAATATTACCAGCCATCATACAATACATGTAGCTCATTATCTACTACCAAAGGTTGTTGAGTGTATTTTATAAAAGTGTAAGTCTCACACTAATTAGACTGTTCTACAAGTAATAAGCATGACTTTATAAACAATTTGAAATAGATAAGAGTATCGTTATTTTTTCACTGAAAAATCTCCACCAGCACTTAGGTGAAGAGTAGCAACGATAAGTGTACACGTCAAAAAACCAACATAATTACTGTTGAAAATTCTATACCTTATCACTCATGTTTAAAATAAGGCGATTATTATTACTATTATCATTACTATGAATTTTTTTTTTTACTGAATTCTGTCTCTTATTCGAAATTTAATAAATTTAATAAAATTTTAAGGGAGTTGTGAGAATTTGAAAATATTTCAAGTTGTTATTCACCGTAGACTGACATCATTTGGAGGGACAAAATAAACCTGGGAACACTGGAAAGTTGTTTCATCCCAGTACGCGACTCCTCAACAGTCCGCATACACAACTCATGACCTTCAGGTTCTCCTGACAGCACGTCATCATTCAGCCACTGGGTCAGAATCCAGTGCTCCAGTGCTTCAAACTTCTGTTAGCTCACGATATAGTGCAACTACCATTCTCAGAATTCAATTGAGCTAGTGCTCATTGGTGACTAGCTTCCACAGGTATTCTCGAAGTTCCAGTGAGAAGTCATGACTGGTGGAGGCAAAGTCTGATGGTCGTGAGGACAGTTACTCAACGATGATATTAGGTGGTGGTTGCGGTATATCATGAGATAACAGAAGTTGGAAATATTGGAAGTATTGGATTGTGACCCAGTGGGTGAATGATGACGTGCTGCCAGGGGAAGGTGAAGTTTGTGGATTCGATCCATGGAGGACGGGATTATGGATGCGCACTGCTGAGGAGTCCCACGCTAGAATGCAACAGCTTTCCAGTGCTCTCAGGTTTCCTTGTTTCTAAAACTGCTGTCAGTCTACGATGAATAACAACTTAGATTGAATAAAAGCTTTCATAATAGTGTGATTGGGGAACTGCTGATAAAAGGTACGTTAATAGATAAGTTCACATGATCTCTTCACGGTTTCAAAAGGCTTGCCAGCCTGCGCCATTTATAGCATTGCGTTGTCTACAGAGGATCCAGTCCACTACGCGTCGGTTCACTCTTCTTTAGCGTATAAGTGTGACGCATATCGAGTAAAGTTAGCGGATATGAGAAGACATCATGTGTTCGAACACAATCACCTTCATACTACAGGTCATGTGTTATGATATCACTACGTCTGTAACACAGAGGTCAGGTGAAGAGTTTTAGGGAGAAGATAAAAGTTACTCAATGAGTTTATGAATCTATATGGAATGAACTGACTGAGAAATATGCTATGCATGTCTATTCACCCTCTGTATAATCGCAGGACGTTAGCTGAAGCATGTTTAGGCTGGGAAATAGTATCATTGTATGAAATCTTTCCATCTAAATCATGTAGGGAAATGTAAACTTTCTAGTTGGAGTCCACACGACAACAAAAACCAGTGGACGGACACTCCAAGTGACATGGTCCAGAAAGATCTCAGTGGAGCAGATATATTCGCATCTTAATCACATTGCTAAAATCAATTTTTTTCATATTCTTGCTTCGTATTTTTGACTAATTTCTTCTGCTTTCAACCTATTCTCCTTCTTTGTCTCTTCATCTTCCCTTTGACTGCCTTCTCGGTTGATGTACTGATATGAGGTATGGAAACTTGAATATCTATACAGCTATGCCTAGTTCTATGTTGATGATGATGATGGTGGTGATCTCTTTACCAGGAAGTTTAGTCTGTCAGTTAAAGTAAAGTAAAATAAGTGATTTATGCTAACTGGGGAGCTAAAGAAACTTTGGACCACTAACCAATAGTTTCATAAATCTTTTCAACTCTTAGACAAGGTTCGTCTAGGAAATCCTGAAGAATCCAGTTTGTAATTAACCAGTCTACCAGAATATCTAGAGATGACACTGGATAAGCGGATTTACAACAAGTGGGAAATTTGATATCAACCGATTATTTAGGTAGTAACAAACCTATGAACTCAGTGTTTCCTAGGATCATTCATAAATATGTTTATGAAGTCATCAACCAGGATGGAACAGCTACCTAATACTTTCAGGTTTTCAACTGTTCTCTATGAAGAGATAACTAAGCTAAAGTCAATGTACCACTGAAACAACTACACTTTTATCTCTTACCTTGTAGTATTCTATCATAATTAAGGATTGAATAAAATTTATTCCACCTGTATTTTATAAGACCACCAGCAGAATATCATTTTTTTTCCCCATTGAAATATGCATACCTTTTTCACCTCATTATCAAATTAACAGTAATTCTCAAACAGGTAACATACAAAAAGCCAAAACAATAAGCTAAGATTATTCTATCTTTTCAAAAGAACATTCAATAACACTTCAGTAGACAATAAGTAATCTAAACAAACAGAGAAGATATATCATGTTTCATGAATACTCCTTTTTTTTTTCTTTCTAAGAGCAATTGAATTGCTTTATATTCAAAAACTAACTTCTTTCAACTAAAATTAGGTGAGAATGTGGGTGCATTTGATATTAAAGGTCATAGATTTTCATGTTTCTAGGTGTGTCAACTTATGGCTCAAGTTTTTTCCACATCCAGTGATGATGATGATGATGATGATGTTGAGTTTGATTCTGCCTACAAGTTATTCAATCCTCAAAATCTACCCAATTCAAACAGATTATCTTCAAGTTGTTATTCATCGAAGACTGACATCAGTTGGAGGAATAAAGGAAACCTGGGAGCACTGGACAGCTGTTTCGTCCTAGTATAGGACTCCTCAGCAGTGCGCACCCACTACCCCACCAGCAGGGATCGAACCCGTGACCTTCAGGTTCCGCGACCAGCGCGTTACCAACTGATGTCAGTCTTCGATGAATAACAACTTGAAATATTTCCAAATCTCCACAACCCCCTCAAAATTCAACAGATTATCTTCATTATACTTACCAATATTGTTCAACTATACTCATATACTGAGTATAAGATTTCCAACATTTTAATATACATAGTGCAAAGTGGCTAAAACTTAGTATCTCCTTCTTTCAACTCATCACATCAGTAGCCTAATATAAAAGTGAAATTTCTCCGTTGTGGTAGAAAGTAATTCCATTTTAATTGATTAGTTAGATTTATTACATAGTGAAGGGACAGTATTGCTTACGGGATTACCTTTCGGATATCATTTACTGTCCATAGTTAAATCAAGATAATCATACAACTTTGAGGTATCCTGTATATAATCCTAATTTCCTCCCTGCCTTTTTAAAGTGGACTAAGTTATTTCTACTGCATGCTTTAGGTATTGGTTAATCCACCGTGCTATGTTAGTTTAAGGGTTTTCACCTTATGCCATCCTATTGTGTGGTTGAATGCCTATTATTATTATTATTATTATTGTTATTATTATTATTATTGTTATTATCATTATTTGTCACTTGGGTTCCTAGTCAAACATAGGGATTCATTACCACGCTCACATTACACTCTCTTCTCTACAATCTTTCAAACCTCGCTCCACAACTCCCCACCACCTCTCATTTCTTCCTCACTCCATCTCCTCCATGTCACACTCACCTCGAACTACAAACTCGTCATTTCACATCTACATTCCACTCGACAACCTCAACTGTCCTGGTCTGGTCTGGCACGTCATATCATGTCACGTCACCAGTTGGTATTCTCAGTGTATGCACAACTCAATCCATCTACACTCTCTTCCACAAATATCTGTTGTGTGATAGGTTCTTGCATTGTTGATTCGCTGACAGCCAGCCAGCTAGCCAGCCAGCCAGCCAGCTAGCCAGCCACAGTTCCTTGTTGCTTATTCTAAGTGTTCTGGCCATCTGATCTTCAGAGTGAGTAATGAGTGAGCGTATCTGGCAGTTGTTGATGAATATTTGTAGTTTGTTGGAAATGTCTTTGGTAACAAGTCAAGTCTGTCAAGCATCACATGGAATCACTGAGTTGGTTGACTGGATTTGTGTTGAAAATGCGGATGTTGTTGAGGCTTTATTGTGAGTGGAGTTGAGTTGAGTTGAGTGGAGTGGAGTAGATTTTTACAATGAAATTGCGGTTAATGAAGGGAGGTCTGTCTTGCAGTCTTTCCGATGTTGGCTGATTTTGACGTGTTCATGTTTGCCGCCTGTAGTTGAAAAAGTGCTGCGTATGTGGTGGGTGACAGAGCGTACTTCCTTTAGGTTTCTCCCGTTGATGGTAATTGGAGGTTCTCGTTGTTGGATCTACCAATTTTTATCTAGCTAGGCTTTTTTACTCAGATAGCCTAATTAACCGA